AACCTTTTCTTAATTTTCTTTTCTTATAAGGCTTATCGTTGCATCCCCATTGGGTAGCTGCATTTGTATCTAGGCAGTAGATTTGGGTATTAATCCTTTTAGCTTTTCTTTGTATGTTGTGTGACATACATAAATGACCTAATCTATTTTTTAGGAAACTTATTCTTTGACCAAGAGTGTCTCCCTTTTTATCTTCTTTTTCGATATATATATATATATATATTTCTAAGGCAACTTGCGATCCTTTAGTGTATTCCACGTTTCCTCCAAACAATGCTATAAAAGATTCTTCCAACGCATCAATACAATAGATTCAACAAATATGTATTGCGTCACCCTTATATTTCGTTAGGTAATGATCAGTGGCGGATTCATGATTTTTTTAAAATGATTCGAAATTAAATTGAAAAATAAAAATATAGTGCTTAGTATTTAAATTTGAAACCTCAAAGTGATTTTTGAATTTTCTAAACCACTAAGTTAACCTTTAATCTGGTGTTCACGAGATTAAAACCTACCTATATATATATATAGTGTAATTTTTCATCGAGAGACAAAATTCTGAAGTGCTCAATTATCAAGAAAAATATCTAATAGATAAGGATGATTAAGTAAACTATATCTTCTATTTTTTATTTTTTTAATAAACGTGAAATGAGCTAAAGGTAACATGAATAATTGGATATTACAGTTGTTATGAATCTTGGAATACCTCTCCAGCTGTTACAGGTTGTTATGAATCTTCTACTCTAAATTTTGTTAACATATTTAATTAATTGCATAAACTTGATCTCATCACCAATAAATTTGTGCTAATTAACAATTATATATTCCAAGTAGGCTAAAAAAACAAGTATTCTCTCAACATGATTCTAGCTTACTCCTAACGTTTAGGGCTTTTGGCTTTTGGGAAGGGTTACACTTTTCAATATAGTATTTGAGAAGGCGAACATCCTATATGTTGAAGCCTCTCCGTCTTCAGAAAAAATAAAACCACACGTGATCGAGGGTGCATATATGTTTTCAAATATTATTAAGTAATTAACAAATATGTTCTCTTTTAGCTCTTTAAATTTAACTTTAGATGAAATTGTCACACGCTTCTATCACACGTTTCCTCCAAACAATGCTAAAAAGATATTCCAATGCATCAAAACAACTAGACAAGATCCAACAGAATCCATATATTCGAGGATGGTACAAACATATAAGTGATTTAAAATTAAAATTGAAGGAACGTTAAATTTCAATAAAATATTTTTTTTAGAAGTCATACTGGTCTAGGCCTAAAGTGCACATATCACTAGCGGGGCTAGACTGTTACAATAATGGATTATGTTTCTTTTTAAGATTAGAGGTGGATTATGTTTCTTTTTTAAGATTAGAGGTGGATTATGTTTCTTCTTTAAGATTAGAGGAAGATGTATCATTATTTTAAACAATGCATTAATTGGCTAGCTGTTACAGATTCTCTAGGATATTGATGGTTAAGAAAAGACTATTAAAAGTAATTAAACAACTTAGTGTCAAATACATCGCAAATTAAAATCACTATTAAAAGTAAAAGATTCTTTCATGGCAAATTAATAGAAAATTTGTGTTATAAACATAATTTTCTCACCTCATTCTCATTATTTGGATCACTGGAAAAAAGCATAGCTGAAAACAAATTCTTATTGAAATACTCGAAAATTTCATAATTTTCTCTATGAAAATACTATTATTTTTTTATGGAGTAATATGCCACAAATACAATAAATTATAATAGATTACAATTGATCAACAAAATGAAATAATTAATAAATAATCATTTAGGCTGAGGCGCAAATATCTCGCTCTCTTTAAGGAGATTCACTCTCACTGCGGCATAATCTACAGTCTACACCGATCCAACAGTTCATTCTTGGCTTGTCCTTTCAGCATACAACAACCCAACAACCCAACAACCCAACAACCCAACAACCCAACAACCCAACAACCCAACAACCCAACAACCCAACAACCCAACAACCCAACAACCCAACAACCCAACAACCCAACAACCCAACAACCCAACAACCCAACAACCCAACAACCCAACAACCCAACAACCCAACAACCCAACAACCCAACAACCCAACAACCCAACAACCCAACAACCCAACAACCCAACAACCCAACAACCCAACAACCCAACAACGTAGTATAACTCAAGCAACTCCGGATTAGTTGAAGAGTCAAAGTTCCACAAAAAGAACATCTTCCTTCAACATATAATTACTCTCTTTCGTATAGTGAATTAGTTGAAGACTTAGTAGGCGTTTGGCCATGCTATACCGTATCACGATATGGTATCGTGAGATGGAATCAATGTTTGGACATGCGATTTTACGCTGATTCCATCTCATGATTCCATTTAATAAGATGTGATTCTATATTCTCCATAAACCATGATATGGAAATTCCATATCATGATTTGAGATATTTTAATACAAAAAATTGATCCACGAGTTTATATTTTTGTTTAAAACAACCCTACATTTATATCTACTAACCATTTATTTCATATGTAAATAAAATATATAATCACATCATTACTTTTTAAAATTTATTATTCTCACCGACATAAAATTTATTATTCTCACCAACATATAGTCACTTTAACTCACACCAACCGATTGTTAAAGTGATGAAATATTATGGTCTATGAGCATGAAAATATAGTTGCGGATGATATTGACAAACAAATGGCTCAAAGTAACAATGTTGGTTCGTCTTCTTGGTCACATGATCGAGAAATGCAAGTTCAACGTGAGGAAATTGTCCGTACTATGTGGGAGGATTATATTAAAGCCTAGTACACTACAATTTATGTTCAATTTATTTTTTATTAAATTAAAGTTAGATGAAACAATTACTTAAGTGGAGAACAAATAGCTTTGTAATAATTTATTATGCAATTTTATAAAATTTTGTTTATTTGATAAGATTGGATAAACAATTGGGGCTATTTTAATAGTTTTACAACTTATGTGATTTTTATGTTTATGAGAAAATATACTAACACAAAAATTTCATATCGCATGTACAAACAAAACTTCAATTTCATCTCATGATTCCATATCATGATATCATATCGCATTACGGGCCCTTAAAATATTATTGTTTGTCTTAACTCTCTCTTTCACTACACTAACTCAATATATATACACAATACAACATTTCTCATCTTTTCTTACTTTCTTTCTCATATCTATCTCTTGTTTTCCCAACCCAAATGAAGACCATCACTATTTATAGGGGAGGAAATCTTCCTTGCAATGAATAAGAAGATTATGTAAATTAGGTAAATGAATGGTCCAACTATTACGTAAGTTACGAGGGATAATTAGGTAGAATAATAAGTGAAATGAAGAGTTGGTGGTTACAAGACATACTAACCAATAATGACCACATTCTTTGACAGTTGATAGTTGATGAGAGTAAAGAGACACAAATGTAATGTCGACATAACATGATACATAAATGTAACATATGATATGTTTTTATTAATATTAAAATGTCACACTAACATTTTTTCTTTTCTCTCTGATTCAATCAAAATATGCGTGAAAATAACTAGTGTATATTTTTTAATGAAATTTTTTAATAATATGTTATATTATACTCGCTTCATCCCATGCATATTAGTTAATCATCTTACATTACTAAAAAGAATTATTTCATATTAGTTCATGTTCACCTTATTAAATAAAAAATGCATTAATTAATTTTTTCCTATATTATCCTTGCAATTAATTCTTTTTTCAAAGAGTTTACATTTGTTTGTAAAATTTTCAATAAGTTTTTTAAGGGGTGAAATAGTAAAATTTATCTTCTTATTTACGATTTTTTAATATGTATATAAAAAAAATGATGAACTAATATGAGATGAAGTGAGAAATATATCGACTTAGGGTTCTCTTTCAATGTCATCAAGTACGTACCTACGTTCACGAAGAATATTAGTGGAATAAGCAATATTATTATATATTGTATAGAAATTTAATATCTCTGTAAAATCGATTGCAATCTCCAATAACAAATAATTAGTCTCTTGAGCTATGTTGAGCATTACTCTTAATTTTTATTTAATCCCCCTGTCCTTAATTACTTGTCTACTTTTTTTTTTTTTAGTTATCTCTAATTGTTTGTTCATTTTGACAAATCAAGAAAGGATAAAAAATTTTACCTATTAAACCCTCAATTAATTGTTTTGAAAAATGTAGAATTTCTTGAAAATCTTAAGTTTTTAATTCATCCACTTCATAATTAATAGGGGTAAAATGGTAAACTCACTATGTCGATTATAATTTTCTTAATAGGTGTGTCAATTTAAAAGTGGACAAGCAATCACGGACAGAGGGAGTACATTATTAATTAATTGCTTAAACTTGATCTCACCAATATATATTTGTGCTAATTAACAATTATATACTCCAAGTAGGCTAAAATCACAACTGTCCAGTACTCCTTAACATGATTTTAGCTTAGGGTTACTAATAATTCAATCCTAATTAACCCTTGGCCTTCCTGATTAGGAAGACACGATTACACTCTTCAACATGGTATTAGAGAATCGTACGTCCTAGCTACGTTAAAGTCTCTCCGTCTCAAGAAAGAATCAAGCTACACGTGAGGGGCGCGCATGTTGAAAACATTAGTAAGATATTAAAAATATGCTCCATTTAATAAGTTAAATACAATTTTAGATGAGATTGTCAGACCTTCAACATTTTCAGAGAAAACAATAATGTTTGAATTAGAATTTAAGAATTTAAATTAAGTAAATCTCAGGAGAAAATAATTAAAAGATTTGGTCAATATATATACAATATTACTTTATTCATCAAGTGACACATTAAAAAAATAATTTTTTGGCTCTATAAATAGAGAAGAACATTATAGCTTCTATCCCACAACTTCTCTTTATTTAATTTTTTGCTAATTGCCAATATGCTTCTCTCCAAAAATATTTTCTCTCTTAACACAAGGGAATTATCACCAACTAAATTATTTTCTAAAAAATATTTTTCTTCTAGGTTTGAATATAGTAACAATATTTCATCATTTGAAAATCAAAAAATAGCTAGAACAAAATTGTTTTGCATGAAATCTGAAAATGTAGGACACCATCAACTTAAAATCATGCATGGTAATGATAATGGCATAGGGATTGTTGAGTTTTTCGAAGGGAAAAATATTCTTGTCACTGGTGCTACAGGGTTCCTAGCAAAAGGTATATATATATATATATATATATATATATATATTATATACACTTACAGTATAAATACTATATTTTTTTTAATACGACTTATGGATTTTAACTATATTATACTTGTTTTCATTTTATGTGATATATTTTGAGTCGACATGAAATTTAATAGAGAAAAGAACATTTTAAAAATGTATCTATTTTTTGGACATATTACCTTGGTGTATGCGTCACATAAAATGGGACAAAAGAGTAGCATGTCAGTTACCATTAATTTCTATTATTGTTAAGAGATTTATACGTAATTACCTAAGAAGTGATCTGATTGTGTAAATATTTGTGAGGTGTCAGGTATATACTTATACTATATATATATTTGACATAGTTCAAAGACAAATTCAACCCTTTTCTCTAGACATTTTCCAATAACATGATATATTTTTTTATTTTTTATTTTTGCAGCTTTTTTTTATTTTTTTTTGCAGCTTTGATTGAAAAAATGTTGAGAACAACACCAAAGGTAAACAAGATCTATTTGCTCATCAGGGCAAAGGATAAGGAAGCTGCATTTCACAGATTAAAAGCTGAAGTATGTTTAAAATTCTTTCTTCTATAAATTTGCCGACGAAAGATTTTCAATTGACCATCCTTTTGACGATTGTATATACCTAGTCCGGAGCCTCCCTTATCCAAACAAGTGTCAATTGACATACTTTTGTCAAAAAATTACAATGCACATATATAGTTAATTGTTGTGATCCTTCGAAAAACAAAATATGATAATTTGAGACATGCAAAAGGAATATTTTGACTTTTCTTATTGAAAATTCCAACTTAGTCACTGACTAGCTGATAATGTGAACCGACTATTTACACCTTGATTTTGTTTAAAAATTTCAGATTATGGAGTCAGAATTATTCAAATGCCTAGAAGAAATGCATGGTGAAACCTACAAGTTATTCATACAAAATAAATTGATTCCTATAGTTGGAAATATATATGAGCCAAATCTTGGTATGGATATTATTACTAGTGACAAAATTGCTCAAGAAATTGATTTGATTGTTGACTCTGCAGCCATCACTACATTTGATGAGAGGTTAATTCTTTCTCTTTAATAAATAAATAATTATCTACTATAGTATATTTAATTAACATTTTTTTTTTTGGTTTTATATATGTTTCTAGGTATGATTTAGCTCTTGATGCTAATGTGAATGGTCCATATCAACTCATGATGTTTGCAAAGAAATGCAAGAAACTTAAACTTCTTATGCATTATTCTACCGGTATGACCTGATTGAGTTTAAGTTATATATATTTATAATATGAATCTTATAATTTTTTTTAAACAGTTTTATATATGCATTGTCTGTATATAGATTTTTATACTATCATGTTATGTTGACTTATAACAACAAATAATTTTTCTTAGTACAATATTGAATTTATTTATTTATTTTGTTTAAAGCATTTGCCAATGGAGAAAGAGAAGGATTAATATTGGAGAAGCCTTTTACAATGGGAGAAAGCATAACAAAGGAAAAATCACTTCAATTTCTCCTTATACTAATTTTCCATCATTGGATGCTCACAATGAAATGAATTTGATTTCAAAGTTGAAGAACAATATTACAAATAATATTGGTTTGGAACAAATAATGAAGGATTTTGGACTTGAGAGGTATTTAATTTTTCTCTCTTTATATAAATATAATATTATTAAAATTAATTAATGTTTATTGATTAAATAGGGCAAAGTTATATGGATGGCAAGATACATATTCATTTACAAAGGCAATTGGTGAAATGATGATAAATAATATGAGAGATGAAATTCCAATACTTATTATTCGTCCCTCTGGAATAACAAGTAGCTATAAAGAACCTTTTCCTGGATGGATACAAGGATTCAGGTATATCGACGATCACTTAAATTTGTTAGTAAGTTTTATTTAGATATTTGAATTATATTATGTTTTAATTGAACATCTAAATACATGATAAAATATTCATATTAGACACTTCTGACTGTTGAAGATTTTTTTTTTTGTATGTGTTCACAAGCGCTAATTACGTATGTGGACAAGTTAATTACATAAAATGTATCACCTCCTTTAATTGGAACATACTTGAGATTTTACAAGTTATTGAGGCTGATGCGTATGATAAATGGATTGGAGTTGACATATTTTAAGTGGTTAATTAACTTATTTGCGTATTGGGCACTTGATCAAAACGCATGCAAACGCTTTTTCAAAAAGTTTGAATCAAAAGTGTCAAATAGAAATACTCGATCATGTGCTCCATCAAAAGATATAGTAATTCGAATATCTAAATTAAATTTATTGACAAATTAAAAAATTTATCGATGAATTCTGCTTATTTATAATATTTTTGTTTTTTATTTTTCGAATTGTCTCTTTGTCATAATTAGGATAGTCGACCCATTAGTCTTTTTCTATCGAAAGGGTGACCTCCCTGGCCTTCTTGCTGATCCTAATTGTCTTGTTGATTTGGTAAGTATACTTTTTCAATATATTTAATATTTATAATTGCGTCCGTTATTGTTAAAGTATGTGACCATTTTATTTTAATATTTAAGATATTAAAGAAAATAATATTTTATTTATTTAATTATATCTTCAATACGTATACTCCCTTACAATTCAATTACCTGATTCCTTTTTATGGCCCAAATACATGATAGGTGAATGTTCAACTCGAACCTTAGACCAATACTACATACCTTGATACAATGTTGAAATGAGTGACCCTTTCATTTAAAAATTTAAGATATTAGAGAACCCATTTTATTTAGGCATAATACATAAATTTGCCCTTTAACTTGGCTTCAAATCACATTTACGCCCTTCAACTTTGGGTGTGCACAAATAGACACTTAAACTTGTATAAAGTTGAACACATAGACACACATATCCTATATGACATCCTACATGTCATTTTTTTGTCCTACGTGTATTGTACCATGTAGGACTCATGTGTTTATACAAGTTAAAGTGTCTATTTGTGCATATTCAAAGTTGAAGGACATGGACATAAAATAAGGCCAAGTTAAAAGGCACATTTATGTATTATGCCTTTTATGTAATGATTATATCTTCAACATGCTCTCATGTCCCGACTTAATTCCTTCTTATGAGCCAAACACATGGAAATAATTGGGAGCGCATGAGATCACACTCAGGGGGACCAGCACTACCTACTGTTACACATGTTGAAATGTGCGACTATCTCAGTTAATAATCTTTAATATATGTACACGTATGCCAACCCCCCCCCCCCCCCCCCCCCCCCACACACACACATCCCGACTTGATTCTCGTTCATATAGGCCAAACACGCAAACTCGAACTCTAGCCCAATACTACTTAATTTGATATATATCATGTTAAAATGTGTAATCATCTCATTTAAAAAATTTGTGTTATTACAAATTTATATTTTTATTTATTTCTTAAACTCTGTGTCTAATCAACGTAGGTCATATTTCTGACTTGTTCACTTGATATAGGTTCCAGTTGATATGGTTGTAAATACAACAATGGCTGCTATGGCAAAACATGGAAATTTGCAAAATCCACAACTAAATGTCTATCATGTGGCATCATCATCTATAAATCCTGTCTCATTTTCTCAAATTTTTGACTATTCCTATGATTTTTTCCAATTATTTCCTTTTGTTAATTCAAAAGGAGATAAATATGAGGTTAAAAAAATGAGATTTTTTGACAAAATATCAGATTTTGAAAACTATATTTGGGAGGTATTATCCAAGCAGCATGAAGTACAAGATGGAAAAGAGCTAACAAAGATTCAAATACGTTTAATTAAAAAGAAAGTGGAATATTTGAAGAATTTCAGCAAACTTTATGAACCCTACTTGTTCTACAAAGGCTGGTACGTGTGATATTTAGTTTATCATTTTTGAATTTATAATATTTATGACACGATCAACTTTGATATTTCCTAAATGAAATGTTTTATAGTGACATAAATGAATTAAGACAGAAATAATATGTCATTACTAAAATATCATGAGAAATGGTAATTACTAAAAAAATTATCTTTTTAACTTTTACTCGATGTTCAGTATTCGTATTAAGACCTGATTATTCCATAAATATTTTTTTTTTCTTTTGCTAGGTTTGACAATGGCAATGTACGAAAGCTAATGGGAGACATGTCTGAAGAAGAAAAAAGAAGCTTTGAAATTGATGTGACAAAAATTAATTGGAAAAATTATATTGAAAATACCCATATTCCTGGTGTACAAAAATATGTACTAGAAGGAAAAAGGGTAAATTAATTCTTAATATTGGAACAATTAATTAAGAGTATTATTTTGTGCTTTGTGTAACATTTAATTATTCAAGATTATATTTCATTTATGATTGTAATATTATTGGGTGTACTTGTTTGTTGTTTAATAAAAAGAGATTGTTTGCCACTGATTCCTATTTTATTCTGTAGGATTAGTTTTAGATTTTAATTTTCTGAGAGTATAATGCTATTTCATTCTAGGGTTTAGAAATTAAAATTTAAGGTCAATCTTTAGTCTTGTATACAATAATGAACGTAAAATGAACTAAGATAACAATTATTATTAAACAGAAGAATAGTGGGCTGTTACAGGTTGTTATGAATCTTCTACTCTAATTTTTGTTAACATTATTAATTAATTGCATAAACTTGATTTCATCACACCTATAAATTTGTGCTAATTAACAATTATATACTCCAAGTAGGCTAAAAAAAACAAGTGTTCACTCCTAACCTTTAGATCTTTTCGAAAGAGTTACACTCTTCAACATGGTATTAGAGAAGACGAACGTAGTATAGGTTGAAGTCTCTCCGTCTTCAGAAAGAATCAAGCCACATGTGAGGGGTGCTCAGAGGCGGATACCTACCTTTATAAGTGGGGGTGCACGAGTACCCGTTAACTTCGGAAAAAATCATGTGTATATATGTATATCTATCTCGAGAAACTGATAGAAACTAGGATATAATTAACAGTGCACCCATGAAAAGTATATGAGTGTTCTTGTTTTGTTGGTACAAGGTAGGGGAACCACTTGCAAGACCAAGGTTCGAATCTAGCTAAAGTGTTATTTCATTATTTTTATATTAAAATTTTACTTAGAGATCATATTTGATGCACCCAAAATCTTTAAATTCTGGATTCACGTTTGGGGCGCTTACATGTGTTGCAAATATATTATTAAGTAATTACAAATATGTTGTGTTTTAATTCTTTAAATTTAATTTTAGATGAGATTATCACATACTTCAACAATCCCTAAAAGAAGATAAAGCTTTAATTAATTAGAATTATCATGAATATATTTGATATCTTTTTTCGATAATAAGGAGCATATTTAAACTATTGTTGATTATATTATACATGAATATATTTCTGAGTATAAATTAAAGAAATAGATATGATATGGCTGATAATATGAATTTAACGGCTCAACTTGCAATTATATGATCCTAAATACATTTTATGTTTATATCCAAAATAAATACTCCCTCTGTCCCAATTTATATGACTTACTTTCCTTTTTAGTCAGTCCCAAAAAGAATGACACATTTCTATTTTAAGTAACAATTTGCCTATAAAATGTCTTTTTTACCCTTAATGAAATGATTTACAACCACACAAATTTCTATCATTCATTTTGGACCACAAGTTTTAAAAGTCTTTCCATTTTTCTTAAAGTTCGTGCCAAATCAAAGTACATCATATAAAATGGGACGGAGGGAGTATAAGTTATTGTCGTAAAAACTTAAAATTTCATTCGTTACTTATCCTCTCTTATACGGACATCAATTGTTCGAACTTTTGATCCTTCCCTAAAACTCTTTATTTTAGATAAAATCGTCTTTTCATCGTTTCTCTTAAATTATTATACCTTATTATAATATTATATATTACATATTGATGTTAATAAACATAATATACTCATTGAATAGGTAGGAGCCTTAATGTGGATAAAAAGTACCCCCTCAGTTCATTTTTACTTTAGTACAATTTGATTTGACACATATATTAAGAAAATAATTAATAATATAGGTATTCTACCAAATTATTCCCTATTAAATGATGTCTTGAAAAATGATTTAGAAAAAAAATATTTAATGCTAACGGTAAAACATGTAAAAAAATTTATTGTCTTCTCTTGATATATCAAAAGTGACAAGTAAAAATGAATATTTATTTTAGGAATAATTGACAAGTAAAAGAGAACGGATGGAGTATGTGACGTCCAACTTAAGATTAGAAGTCCACATCGGCAAAATACAAGAGAGAAGTTGGTATATATGTAAGCACACCTTACCAATAAGTGACACATTTTAAAATCGTGCGGGCCTAGGCCCAAAACTGACAATATTACTAGTGGGCTGGACCGTTACAAAGTAATTAAAAGATAATAGTAAGGTAGGAGTTCTAACGTTATAAAGAGTAAATTTCTGGTTTAACAAACAGAAAAATCATATTTGTATGTTATAGTTATAGTTTGCATAATTGAGCTCCATAGCAAATTTTATGTTTGCTATGGAGCATCAGATTTGTATAAATCGTATGCAGATATTCGCTTGTATAAAAGCGCATCGATTGCATATGTATATCAGTTAGATAATTGTATCTATGTAACTACTATATATATGTTCAATGATTGTGTTTGTATATCTGCATAAAATTTGAATTTGTATACAATTGAATTGAAATAAAGCATTTGTATATCAATTCTCTCTCTCTTGCTTTATACAACACAAATTATACATTGTAATTTGTATAATTTGTGTTTGTATAAAGCGAGAAAGAGAGAAAGGCAAAAGAGGATGGATAGGGGAAAATCTGTATTTGTATAATTCTAAGTGTATAGGACGAAAATATATGTATTTGTATTTGTATATACAATTTTCTCTCACTTTATTCAAAGACAAACACAATTTATACATTTGTGTTTGTATAAAGTGAGAGAGGCGAGGAAGAGTGGCGAGCGAGATACAAGTGTTTGCTACATATTACAATTAAATGAAACTGCGGTTATAGCCTTTAATTTGAATTAATAATTTGCTATTTTATATAAGTTCTCCTTTTTATTTCACATTAAAAGTCTTTCACCTTTTTAGACTCTAAATATGGAAAGTTTTATAACTCCTAATAATGGTAGTTTATGGAATCTTAAAGTCACATCTTTGTAATTGACTTCAAAATACTAAAATTATTGAAAGCCAATAGCAATAAATATGTGTCTTCTGATTTTACAGCCAAAATCATTCAGAAAGCCACAATTTTATTTGTATGATGAAGACATATGTAATGTGACTTTCAATTGATAGTGTGATTTTTGTACCCTCTCTAAATAGCCCTATCAATTTATTCACCTTCATGCTAACCATGACACTCATGCCAATGAGGAGACGTTTAAGAAGAAGGATTGATCGATTTTTAGATTGACAAACTTTTAAAAGAAATATTCTATTTCATGTTTTAGTTTATAAACTCGACTAATGTAATATTTTTTAATTTTATTTCGCGTGAGTTTTAACTTAATTTATTACAAATATTTGTGTTATATTACTGTGCTCATATATAATGTAGTTTATTTTTTGTTTACTTTTTCTTTTTTAATCAATACATGTGAAGTAACTTTTTTTTTAATCAATGCATGTGAACTTTACTTTTCTTTTGTCAACTGCAACTTCATCTGTCTATGTAAGGTGGCAGACCCATAAGCAAAATTGGGTACACGCAGAGGTGAATTGTAACGACCTGTTTCCGTCGTTAGGAAAAAGTCAATGGGAAAAGAATTTGGGTCAGAAAACTTTTGAGTAGTGACTTGAAAATTCTCAGCCTAGTCCAGATTTAGATGAAATCTGAGTCATGTGAAGTCTAGGAAAATTTGGTAATGAATGAGAGGTTCAATAATGAATTTGATTACATGAGTTGATAACCAAGACGTTAAGGAGCCCGTACGGCTTTACATAATTGAATTCAGGCGAGTAGAACTTCCGAAACTAATCTTAACGTGAACGGGTAGTTTTTGAACGTCAATGGTTGAGGGTGTATTATGAAATGGGGGTTTGAAACTCAAATTCCGAGGTTCTATCTCCGTATAAGTCGTCGGGGCGGGATTTATCCCGCGAGGGAGGGGTCGCTCTGGAGGGATGAAGTCCGCTATGGCGGGCTAATCGCGACTTAAGTCGGGGAAAAACCCCAATTTCGTTATTTTTCTGCAAATTTCGTTCTTAAGAGTTAGGAGACGACCCAGGATGAATTCTTGACAGTTTTCCACGACATTTGGTGCTAAAGGTAAGGATTTTACTCCCCTAATCCGTTTTTCGATCCGTGGAACGTAAATTCATGGGTAATTATTGTTGGGGGAGGGTTTTGGCCTAAAGTTGATGGTGGGAAAAAGCCCTAGCTGCACCTTAGGATCATGGGTTTGGTCTTGGGTTATTGGGTTGTTATAATCCGGATAATTAGACCTTAATTTATTGATTCTTGCGTTATATTAATTGTTTGTAGACCTAGAACAAGCAGAACGAATTCGAAAAGGGAAGATTCAAGTGCCTTAGGGGGATTCAAGCTTGGTTTCGAGGTAGGTGATGGTTTTATTTCATGTTTGTGTGGTGTATATTAATAATTGCTTTATTGTAATGCATATATGTATGTGAATGAAACACTATTGATCAAACCTAACGTAAATGAGTATGAATAAACCATTGTATGCCATGAATCGACACTTGATTGTATGATTATGAGAATGTACATTATGAGTGTGATTGTGATTGTGCTTATGTTGATTGGATCGGGTGTCACATTCCGACACATGTATTGGATGAGGTGTCACGTTCCAACACACTAATTAGGATCGGGTGTCACGTTCTGGCACACTAATTGGTATCCGGTGTCACGTTCCGGCACACGAACAGTTTGGGTATGAGTTCTATGAGAGGACCACTGTGTTGCCATATCTAATTGTTATTGAGAATGTGAAATTGTACAATGCTCCTGAAACGGTAATTGTATATATATATTATGTATATGCGTGTTTACTATGCTCTGACTGCTTATATACTGTGCTTACTGGAATAGCCGTGTGATCCTACCAGTACACTGTGGTTGTTTATTGATACTGCACATGCTCATTCTTTGTTAATTAGTACATGACATCTTCAGACGACTATTGATAGGCCTCAGCTAGGAGATCAGTGATCAAGATCGGATTTCAAGGGTGAGCCAGTTCTTTCAAGCTGCCATGGAGTCCTTCATTTTGCTTAGTCCATTCTTTTCGGACTTAGACATGTTTTAGTATTTTGCTTATGTTTGGTTGGGGTTGTACCCCTTTTCCTTAGACTTGTGTGAAAACTTTTCTCACAAGCTTCAGATC